CCTCCAGTGCAAGGAAGTAGACTAGTATATCTTCCGTAGTTAAATAGCGAATAAATATTTAATTAACTAAATAAATAATTAAATATATAATTAATTAAATAAATAATCAATAGGGAGAAAAAATAAATTGAAGTTGAACAAATGGCGGAAGAATACGAAGGAGGAAACGTTGAGGTGTCTGTACACCACAGCTTCGCCGTGCAAATAATAGGAAAGCAGAAGGAAAGCAGGACGAAAGCTGGTAAAATCGTGCTTATTTTTACGTAAAATTCATTAAAAACATTAATAGAATGTATTTATTAATTAAAAATATCTTTATTTTTCTTTTTTCTCCCTTTTTGTCCATCAGAAACGACAGATCGACCCGCCAGGTTTTGGGGCTTTATACCACCACCACCCCACCGTCTTCCTTGCAAACTGCAAGAATCCCTAAACCCTAAACCCTGATTCCGAGGTTGTAAACCCTAAACCCTAAACCCTAGACTCTTAACCCTCGATCATCGTTAGAGAGTCAAGAGTGGGTATAATATAATAAGACGAGGCGTCGCCTCGTTGTACCTCTTTATCGGTGTGTAACAAGAGCAGGAGGAGCAGCAGCAGGAGCAGCAGCAGGTGCAGCAGCCTGTTGCAGGCGGATAATTTATCGATTTTGTTGCTGCTGCTGTTTATATTATTGAGTAAAATATAAAAGATGGATTCTCAATCATCAGAGGATTCTCCTTTTTCTTCATCTGTTATAGACAGCAGCAGCAGCAGCAGCACAGAGGCAGTATTATGTGCAGTAATAGGGAAGAATTCTTCTATTGGATCTACACTTTCTTTAGGTATTGCTATATTTGATCCAAGAAAGTCTTCCCTACAACTTGCAGAAATCTCCTCTGATGAGCATCTTACTGCTCTTGAATCTATACTTATACAGGTATATATATAAACCCTAAACCCTAAACCCTAAACCCTAGATATATAAACCCTAAACCCTAATTATCCTATTATATTACATCCTATACCCTAAACACTACACGTGTAGCACATGTAACACTTCTTTTCCCCATGCTGTTGCTGCTGTTGCTCCTGCTGCTGCTGCTGCTGCTGCTGCTGCTGCTGCTGTAAATAGGTTGGCGCTGCATCTGTTATATATCCTCATGGAGAGGCAACAAGTTGGCAAAGAAGATTGCCGCATTGCGTGCATGCAGTTGGGGCTGAATTAATAGAGGCAAAAAAAAATATATTTACACGTAAGATTATTTATTTATTTATTTATTTTATTTATTTTATTTATTTATTTTATTTATTTTATTTATTTTATTTATTTTATTTATTTATTTATTTATTTATTTTGTGTATAGAGGATAATTTACTACAAGATCTTTCTTTTCTTCTTCCTCCTCCTGCTATAAAACCTGCATTAGCAAGAGAACTCCGTCTTGATGTTGCATCTACTGCTCTTGCTGCTCTTATCTCTTATTGGAGTGTAAGGGTTTAGGGTTTAGGGTTTAGGGTTTAGGGTTTAGGGTTTGGGGTTTAGTGTTTGGGGTTTTTTGGGGGGCGAGGGGGAGGGTTTAGGGTTTAGGGTTGTAAAGGATTCGGGGTTTGTTGTCTAGGGTTTAGTTTCTATTATCTATTATGTACTATAGACTATCTAGGGTTTAGGGTTTAGGGTTTAGGGTTTGTGGTTGCGCAGCTTGCCTCTGATGAGAGTCTTTACCATGCCTGCTCAATAGGGCCATACCCTGTTGCTTCTTTTCTTAATATTGATGCTGCTGCTGCTGCTGCGCTGCACCTGCTGCCGCCACCGCAGCAGCAGCAGCAGGTGCTGCAGCGTATTCTCCCTTGCAACAGCAAATACGGGGAAGCGCATGCAGCAGCACATGACAAAATAAGTACACATAAACCCTAAACCCTAAACCCTAAACCCTAGATAGGATTAGAGTTGAACTATATGCTGCTTCTTATGAGAGCTTTCCTCTAGGGTTTAGGGTTTAGGGTTTAGGGTTTTTTGTGTTAGTGTTACTTATTATGTATGTATAGGTGCTGCTGCAGCAGCAGCAGCAGCAGCAGCAACATCAGGAGGAGGAGGAGTTGGATCTATTTATGGTTTATTTTCTCGTTATTGTTGTACACCTCTAGGCATGCGTAGATTACATATTATTATTACTCAGCCTCTTGTAGATGCAGAAGAAATCAGCAAAAGGCATGATATTGTTGAGGCATTCATGCAGGTATAAACCCTAAACCCTAATAAACCCTAATAAACCCTAGAAAACCCTAAACCCTTAAGAGGCACACACACAGCGATGCTTGTGCTTGGTTTTTTTTCTACTACTGTATCCATGCTAAACCCTAAACCCTCGTAGATAGCTATATTGGGTGGTTCTGGTGCCGCCGATTAAACTCTCCCTCTCTAGGGTTTAGGGTTTAGGGTTTAGGGTTTAGGGTTTAGGGTTTAGGGTTTTGTGTGTAGGAGGTATTTCGTCGGGAGGTATTTCAGAAACATTTTCAA